ACATTGCCTTGCATGAGACGGAGAACCTTCTATTTATATTATAAAATTGCTTTCATCACACTTTATAAGGTTTTGTCCTTTATAGAAAGTAATTGGAGTAATAGGCCTTGGAGAATACAATTGAGCTCACACTTGGGGTTGGACTTTGGGGTGCACTAATTAATTGGTAATTAATTATATTTAATATATATTTAATTATCAAAAGATGGGCATTGGCCCTTCGGGCTCTTGCGCTCTGAAAATTAAATTCTTTAATTAATTATTTTTAATTAATTTCGAATTTAATTAACTTAATTTTTATGAAAAGACTCATCATTTCAGATGAAGTCTGAGAGTTCAGAAAGAACGTAGAGCAAAGCACCCCTTATGAGAAGATGCTTTCCAACAGATGTATCTCTTCCCCATACCTATTGCGAACAGGCTTAATCCCTCTATATATATATATATATACATTCGTCTGCATGACATTTAGAGTACAGAAAAACATAAATCTCCTATAATCCATAACATTCTTACTGAGAGTACCATACAGAAATTCGCCAGAAGTTAAGTTTTCCGGTACTGGAATTCTAACTTGATCGTTGAATCCTAGTGAAGCAGACGTCCGTAGAACTACAAGCACTGAGTAGGGACGAAATTTCTGTTTCAAGGACATTGCGGTATGCAAGCCTCGATCATCAATTTTTCTGTTTAAATTTATTTCGTCGTTCATACTCTGTTCAATAATTTTTATATTCGCATTTATTGTTTATTAGCATATATATAATTAAATCATGGATTGTTGACATACACCAACAATATGGTTCACATTCAAGGAACTTGCTTATTCTTGTCGATGAACAATTGAACAACTAAAAGCTAGAGGCATTGAGCAAATTACTCATGCCTGTTCTCTCTGACGATCAGTTTTATAACTGTAAGGTTGTTTGGCATCGTGGGTTTTAACTTTTATTTACGTCTTTCAGTTGACTAGTTACTGCAGTAATATTTACCTTTTCATCTGTGAACTATATATGGTCTGGCACACAGATACATCTTCTCTGTAGCGCTGGGCATTCTTACCCAAAAACCACGAAATTGGCTGAACCGACATGGCTTTCCGGTTGCTTCTGCCGGTTTTGTTCGTTGGCGACCAGTTCTTCTCACACGGTTGGGTTATCGAATCGTGCCCATCCCTTATCTGTTGTGACTTGGCAGGTTTGGAATGTGCGTCCTGGAAATCTTTGACTCAAATGCAAGCCCACGCGCACACTGCACATTTTTTTTCTGTTAAAAACCCAATGATCTTTTTCTCATTGCACATTTATGCGTATTTTTCGTCCTTAGATCAAATAAATCAATTGCAAAAATAAACAAAGACGTGTAGAAGCAGAAAGATTGCGGAAATCATCTTCCTGAATCCTGACAAAGTGGGATATATTTGTACTGGTATCAGGAGTCATCAAGTAAAGTGCTAAGCAGCGAAGGACACGTACCAAAATAGAAGTTCAATGCTCTACTTGTCAATGAAAAAGAAAGGAAAAAAAAATAATCACATATAATTGACACCATGTAAATTTTGACTGAACACAAACATTTGCATCTGCTATCGAATGTGTGTGACTGTGTGTCTACGTACATGGTCTAAAATATTATTGGATTCATCGGAAATTATCAATATTTTCACCCACGATTATGTATTTGTAAAGATTTCACAATGTATTATGACACAACGACGTTAGAAATTATATCCACATAAGGCGTTAATCACAATTAGGTATATAACTCATCTCTTGTATCATTCTCGTCATTCATGTCAGTCGATTTCGAGACTTCAAACAACAACAAAAAAATCTTATCTCACTAAGTGGGGTCGGCTAAATGAATTCTAAAACTGTGCTCGATTTTGAGCTAAGTATTTCGTTCGTAAGGATTACATAAATAATATGCATACACAAACATGCATACGATGACAAAACAAAAAGGAAATAGGATTACACAGACCATGCCTCTGTGCAGCAAACAAGTACAACATGCATTTATGCAATATAAGTTTTACGTGAAACTTACTTGAAGAAGCCATTGCAAAATTAGTTCGTCTTGTACTTTCAGTACTTCAAAATATCTCTCTGCTGTGAATACGGTTTAGCGTATTTTGAGAGATTGGGGGTATGGAAGCATGAACATAACCATAGTATTTATACCATTAGGGTTTTCATCACAGTTGGCCTATTATTGGTTGTGAAAACCAAACCCTATCACTTGAGTGTTTAAGTCCCACCATGATTCTATATCTTCATAGTGAAATCTATCCGATTTCTTTAAGATCAATTGCAAAGGATAAGACTCCATAATCCTTATTTCATTAGGATTATCAGATCACTTAAGTTGTTAACAACCCGATAGACAAGTGGCCTACAACATAAGTAATCCAATACAGCATTCATTGTCATTCACAACCTTACATCGTTAGCTCTTAGTACTCCATGTTTTTTCTTATAATCTATTTCCAAGTCTTCCTAAGTTCATCTACCATTTTTGTCTTGAGCCTCAATCTCATAATTGCATCTTCGAACGCGAGCATCTATAGGTCTTTAGTTGACATGTCCAAACCACTTTAACTAATTTTCTCTTATCTTATCTTCAATTGCGGTCACTTCTATTTTACCTCATATATCATCGTTATTAATCATATCCTTTTTGGTGCACCCACACATTCAAGCCCCAACTAAAAAGAGACAAATACCACCAAATTAAAGGCTAATTAGTCGGATATTTAGAAAATAGTTAATTAGTGATTTTGTCTTTGTCTTTGTCTTTGTCTTTGTGTGTAAGGATTCAGGAAGGAGACTTTGACTCTCAATACTGCGTGTATTCGCGTAAGAGTTGCATTACATACAGTCATCCAAGCAACGATGCAAATAAGCTTTGCATTGCCTTGCATGAGACGGAGAATCTTATATGCGTGTATATATATAAATATACAGAAGAGGACGACCAATATATGAATAATTTATGAACATCTGGGTTGATTTTCATCGTCAAGTCATGTGGGTCGAAGGCCATGCAAATGCCGGCAGCTCCTGAAAATTCTAAAGTCCAAGGAAGGTTCACACGAAAATTCCACCATGAATGTCGAACCGGAATCATCATATACAATTTATAATTTGTATGGTCCACATACAAGGGACTTGCTACTAGCTTATTCTTTTTCAGAAACAATTGAACGAATAAAAACTAGAGGAATTGAGCAAATTACTTACACATTCATACGTGGACTCCTGTACTTTAGTATAATATTCTACCTTTTTTGTCAGAAACAAAAATTAAATTATACATCAATATGCCATTTAGTAATACGTAATACGATCTAGTGGTATTCATATTCACTTATAGGTGAAAGCCTGAAAGGTCTTAGATTCATAAATCGTAAATGATGAGTTCAATACCAATTTATTTTTTTCGCATTAATATATTAGGTCATTCTAGGAGACATACGTTAGGTCTAGTACCCCATGGGCAACCACCACATGGTGGCTCAGTGAGTTAGTGGTTTGAGACGAATTTCATGTCTGTATTTCACATGACATGTTCTAAGTTCGATTCCTGGTACTGGTAAATCACATGATATAGGGCTGTTTGTGTAACTTTATCATGTATATTGAACTGGATACTACTAATTTTATTGTAATTTTCTGTCTAATTTTTTTTGTTGACGTAGAATAAGCCCCCACGGTGAATGCCAAACCTAATCTTGTATATTGCCATCTCTATCTCCTTGTCATGGTCGTACATAATTTGTTTCTCAATAACTTAATTTGGAATTCACGGACGAAATAGGCATTCAAAACATAAGAAATTTGTAGGTCAAACATTAACATTAAATACTCCTACAACTCAAGGTTTTTTTTTTTTTTTTTGAACAAATGATACTAGGAGTGGACTTAGCCTCACAATGGGCCATATCACTTTGTTTAAAATAAATAAATAAATAAAAAGAAAAAAAAGTGAATTTGTAGAATCACGGTGATGACATTACTGCACGGAGTAGGATTCTCTCCCTTCCAAATTCTTTTGTCTCTCCTTGGAGGGAGAGAATCCTACTCCTTAATGCACCTATCAATCCAGGCAATCACGGCTTTAAAATTCTCGATTAGAAAATCATGATGAGTAATGAGACTTTATTATTACATGGTATAATTAAATACAATGAATACTCACATATAAGAGAAGATTACGATTTAATTACATACCAAAAAAGAAGATTACGGTATTATACTTTGTTTGTGTATGTATATAGCTGGTACATGCGACTAGGTTAATAGCTCTCATTATTTCTCTCGAATTTTTTTATAAGGATCGGGAACATTAGCCACGTGGTATATTATTCCACGTGTTATAATATTGAGAAGTCGGTGCTCTGCACTCTCATTCAAGTCTCAATTCCCATATTATAAATTTAATTAATGTATCTCAAATGATTTAGGGAAATATGAAAAGTACCTTGCGCCTATTTTTGTGTAGAGAAATGCTAATGGGATTCTCTTAAAATGAGACTTCTCATGAATTTTCTGTTACCTTACAATTTAGCGTCAATTCTTGTATCAATATTATAAAATATTGTTGCAAAAAACATTAGCGACAAAGAGTCCCTAAAGAATCTCACCTTCGAGAGAGTATCATTAGCATTTCTCTTTGGTGTAAGCAGTTAATTGATTAAAGTCCAACAAATTAGAAGACTCCCTCAAATAAAAAAGTGGGGTTGGGGTAAATTTTGTTGTTGGAGGAAGTTGTAATGCAATGCGAGACTGAACCCATATATGTATATCATGTGGCATACATCCACGTCTCCTTTTGTCCTTACAAATAAACCCTCCCTTCTCCTCCTCCTCCTTCCCCTCCCCCGCCCCCTCCTCTCCCTCCTCTCCCTCCTCTCCCTCTATAAATAAAACCCCCTCCCCGCTTTCCTCATCCCTCCTTTCATCCTCCTCCCCCTCCCCCTCTCTCACATTGAACCTCTCTCAGCCTCCCTCTCTCTCTTTCCCCACCCCCTTTCTCTCTCTCTCTCTCTGAAAACTCCTTTTATTTCTTCACCTCCATCCTGCTCCTTACTCGCTAGGCTAGGAAACTACAAGCTCTAGGCAACGAAGATTTCATTAGGTGAGTCTTTCTTTGCTTACATTCCCGTACTTTGATTTCATTATTCATTATTATGTTATCACGTTTTTATTAGGAAAAGAAAATCAAAACTGAAGACCTGAGTGCAAATTTAAATACCCGTTAACCAACTAAGCTATGAAACTTACAAAACTTTGTTATCAAATTTATTATTTATATTGTTTCGTGTATGTTTTGGTCTCGTAGAATGTTGTAATTCAAATTGGTGTTTGAACAATTTACTCGTTGATTTAATATTCTTTTTGTGTGTTGAAGTTTTGAATTTATTTATTTTGCTCAATTATTATTTAAAAGTCAAAGTTTTCGGTTTTTACGGTTTTTTTTTAATGGAGAACTCAGCGGTCGAACAAGAAAGCGGTTGGTGGTCGTTTCGTCTGACCTCCACCTCCTAATCAATTTAATTGTATTTCGGTCCTAATCAATTATTCGTTTGACCTCCAACTTTAAAATAGATCATAAATTTTGTTTTGTTTTTTTTATTTTTTTTAAGATTTCTAGGACGCAAAATTAAACATTTGCTGGCAATATGGCCACAACATCTTTCTGGTATTTTCCTTTTATTTTAAAATTTTAGTGTGATATAATATTTGTATTTTTTGTGTGTTATATATGTATACATATAGATTAGGATCCGAGACAACACGTTATTTACTCACATTTTAACACCTATTTTTAGGGTCTGCTTTGTTATGTATTCCAGTGAACCGTCTATATTTTAATACATCATTCATAAATCATCCTTGCAAAAAGTTAGACAAATCTAAAATCATTAAGTCATTCATGTTTAATAAATAAAATAGACGAATAGGGTTCTACAAAAAACACTAAATTTAATACAATATTCATATATGATTTAGGAATTGGGTGATTTTTGGAAGATATAATATTTGAGGTAAAACATAAAAGATAGTCAGCGTTTGAATCGTTGAAATACATTACGAATATGTCCAACAAATGTTTCTCATAATTATATTTGGCAGAGATGAAATTTGAAGTAAAGATCGACAGATGTGTGTCAAAATGTATATTTGAATTATATTTATATATTAGTAGATCATTTACATAAGCAATTGATTGCTTGTTTTATTGTTTGTTTACATAAACAAATGCTTGCTTGTATTATTTGTATCTTGACTATGTTAGCTAGCTTGTTCGATTTGCTAGTATACCCAGAACCGTTGGAAATTTAGAACAAACATAATTTGTTTTATGTTTTTTCCATTTTATATTTATTGCATCTTTCATAGATGAATTATCTTGGAAGATTTTTTGTGGAAATTATTCTGGAAAAAGATAGTTTTAGCCCAGTTTTCTAGAATTTTTATAACCTTATTCATAATTGAGGGGTTCTCAAGAGAATTCGGGCGTGAATGAATGTTTGAGTAATGTTAATGGAGGCTCGAGTGACTATATTCCTAAATGTTGAGAAGATAGTTATGAGTTTTTAGGTATACTAACAAGGAAAGTAATTTTTTTTAATTTTTTATATATTTATATTTAATTTTAATCCTTAATTTATCCAATTTAGTGCTCGTAAAAAAAAGGTGGGAAAATTATTTTGATGTTAACAACATGATTAGTTTTTCCACTTTGTCAAGATTTGTTTATGTGGGGTCCTAAGTGCTTGCTTTTTCTTTTTTCTTTGAAGTCCTCTCTTTTCTCTTTCAAACATACTTTGAAAGGTCTGGTCTACGTATTTCACAACAGAATAAGGTTTGGTCGGTACTTGATCTGTAAATTATTGAAAGTGAGAATGCCAGGTAGAAAAATTAACACTTTGCATGTATGCTTCATATAAAGTTTTGCTTCTTGAAACTATTATTTTTATTGTCAATTAATTGTATAAAGAATTCAACTCTTAAATTAGAACTAGTAAAGCTTCCTATAAGTTCTCATATGTTCTAGTTTCAATGTTTGAATATTTAAACATACAAGTCCCATTATTGGGTCTCTTTTCCTCAGTACAAAACGATGAAATGCACATCATATGACCTACACGAAACGCGTCGCACACAAAGTCATACGAACTGACCATCTTTTCACTTTTTAAATAGAGAAATATTATTCCTCAAGAACACTAGTTTTGTCGTCTAATTAGCATAATTATATATCTAATTAGCTGCTAATATTATTTATAGCACTTTCATTTCACTTCCTGGTAGTTTCATTGTGACTTGGACAGTTCGTCCTATTCGACATGTCTGGTTCTAAATTCTGAATACTACAGCTGCCATTTTCTCTTCTCCAATCTTTGTTTTAGACGTGGCCTCTGTATACAACCAAAACGTACAAAGCTTGTCGATCCAGTCGACAAGTTAAAGTTGTTCTCTATATATATTTGCATCCATGGCTTTCCCCATATTTCCAACATTTGAACTTTAGGTTAGGAAAAGTCAAGGGTTCAAACCCTCTTTTAAAAAACAATTGATATGTAATTTTCTGAAACTTAAAGGGCCATGTCAGTTGAACCAAAGAAGTAAAATTAATTAGGAGTGGTCAATTGTTGCTTATTTGGATACACGTGTGTCCCACGGCAGTTTTGGGAGTGCATTTTCGTTATGTTCAGGACATGATCACATAGAATAATCATTTAACTTCGTTTATAACACTTGAATTTGTTTTACTTTTAATTAATATATATTATTAGTATGGCATATCACTTATGCCCATTACCCTTATTTAATCATAAAATAGTATACTACGTGACTTGTTTGCTTTTCATAAATGTTTAATGAAATTTTGTTTTAAGGCTTATTTTTTGTATGCCCCTAGAACTCAACACTAATTTCATATTGCTTTCTGAAATTTAAATATTATAATTAGCCTCTTAAACTCAATTTTCACTTCACTTTGCAAGATTTCGTCAATTCCATCAGTAAATTTTGTTAAATATCCTACATGGCATGAGTGAAGCCCACTAGCTTGATGACATGTTTGCCACGTGGCTACCCAGTTGCCACCTCATCTCCTAACTCGAAAGAACGCATCCTCTTTCATCATTGCCATATGGTGATATTTAAGTTTTTAAAGGGCAAAATGTGATTAGAGTCGACTTTCAAAGGGGCATAAAAAAAAAATTAAACTGATGAAAAGTTATCAAAAACTTTAGTTTTAATGAAAATGACAAAATTAAAATGTAAGTTAATAGTACCAGGTGTTAGATCCCACATCGTCCAGGGGTGTGGATCATGTAAGCCTTATATGTATATTGTCATCTCTACCTAGTACGAGGCATTTTGGGAGCTCACTAGCTTCATGTTCCATCGGAACTCCGAAGTTAAGCAAGTTTAGGTGAGAGCATTTCTAGGATGGGTGATCCAGTGGGAAGTTCTGCTCGCGTGAGTTCCCAGAAACAAAACCGTGAGGGTGTGATCGGGGCCCAAAGCGGACAATATCGTGCTACGGCGGAATCGAGCCCGGTATGTGACACCATGAGTGACTTTTCAAGGTAAAAATGTCATTTTCGTTAAAAGTGAACAGTATCGAGACCATTTAATTAAGAATCCCTAAAAAAAACTTGTTTTAATTTCTATCATCATGTGTGTTTTAAATAAGGGAACTTTAACGAAAAGCTCCTGGTACTGTTCACTTTAACGAAAAGTTTCAGGTACTGTTCACTTTAACGAAAAACTACATTTTAACACTAAAAAGTCAATCCTGGTATTATTCATTTTACCATTTATTTTGTCGTTATTTTTAAAACTCAAAGTTTTCAAGTCATTGTAATTAGTTTTCCTTTTAAATAAATAAATGGTGGACGTCCCACAACTACAAAAGGCTACAACCCTATGTTATTTTATCAACGACCTTTTTTATTCTGCATATTCAAAGAATTGTATTTGGTTTGTTCAAGTCAGTTGGTTATTTATAAAGTGGGTTTTGAGTCAGCTGAAGAACTTTAATAAACAAAAAAACGAATAAAGTATGTTCCCTGATTGATCTTGTATTAGTTAATTCGGTTACAGCATTAGTAGTAGGAAGATGAAGGAAAACATCGATCATGCCGGGCCCTCCTAATAATTTAGGGGTTGTGAGAATTCGTATTTTGAAAATATTTGTTTAATTATTATTATTTTGAAAAAGCTATTATTGTGTTCCTTATATAATATATTTGCTTCCTATATGTCCATCCACACATTTATATGATTATAAGTAAACTTGGCCACTACGGTTGCAGCGACCTCCTATCGCTATAAATAGGGAGCTCTGCCCCATTGTTTTTCCATAGTAAAAAGTAAGGCATCATGCAGAGCATGCATTTAGAGTGTCACGTGTAGAAAAGAAAGTAAGAGAGTTTAGGTGTCAGTGGCTTGTCAAGGTTCAAGCTATCTATCTATCGAGGTAAGTGGTTTATATACTATGTCGTAAAACTTCTTATTTATGATACATGTGAAAACCATGAGCTATATCATGGAGTTTTCTCTATTTTCAAGTCAAGCATGTTTAGTTTGGAAATTTCCTTTCAGAGTTATTATATATCTGATTAGTGGATTGTTGAGGGAGCATGAGAACTTTTTTGTTGCTTTATGATCTTAAGGATAAATGTAAACTGTACACAAAGACATCAGGGCAAAAAAAGCCATTAAGGGTCACGTGGTGAGTTATATTTGATGAAGGGTATAATAAACACGTACAGAAATGATGTGATGAAATTATGTGGTATGTGATTTTATATAAGTACTTTATTTTTTAGAGTGTGTAAAACTATGTTGCTTGATGACGTATTGAATATTTTATTCACTGGCCAGCGGTGGGTGTTGTTCACCCATCACCTTTTTATTTTATAAATGAGTTATTTAGCAATATATGGACTAGACGAGCTGAGTTTGTGTTAGACTGGGACTTAAGGGTTTTCTTTCATTTTTGTACAATTGTAAGGTTTTGGGATTGTATGAATAAGAAGATTTTATTTTTTCACCTTTATTTCAGCATTTTTATTTTATTTACGCGGGGTTCACTAACCTCCGATCCGGGTATGGTAGGGGTGTATCCAATTGAGATTCTAATCGATTTTAAAAGATTTTGAAATTCAAGTGTATTTAATTAAGATTTTAAATGCTATTGTCAAACTCTGTTGGTATTTAATCTTGATTTAAATGAGTATGTTAAAATTTGGTGATATTCAATCTTGAGTTTTTTAAAATGTTTCAAAATCTGGTTTTTAGTGGATTCTAGAGTGAAACATATAAATACCAAAAACCTTCACAAATCATACCTTGACCGTTATACCTCTAAAATTCATCGTGATTCCTCCCCCTACAAAATATGAGATGGCTTGGATATGAACAAACTCTTCTTCTAAGCAGACATATAAAGGTAACACGCCCAGAAATACGCAGACTTCATTTTTTTTCCATTCTTCTATCTTCTCTGTATGGTCAAATTTTTTTATTGTTTCTCTTCAAGGAAGGAAGACCACTAGTGATCAGCGATTTTCCTATCTTCTCCTCATGGCCAATTTATTTTTTGTTTTGAGAACCCTAAAATCCCAATTCAACTCAATCGAATTATAATCTTCAATTTCCTTGCCTGATATTATTTTTGTTTGTTCGTTCAATTTCCTTAATTACCTGATCTTGGTGTGCCATAATTAATCACCCAAATATATGTTGTACTTGCCAACACTACTCCCCTTCATCACCGTAGAAATCTTCCTTTCTTTTCTACTTTTCTTTTTATCATCTTCAATGTGATTTTTGGCATCCATTGGAGTATAATTCCATTAAAATTCATCAAAACCTCAAATTCCATGGGAGTCTATATTTCCATTAATTAGCTAGCCAGCAATGATATTCTTATACCATGAATGCATGTTGTTTCACGTGTATTGTGAACTTCAGAAACATGAACTGATCAACGTGCAAGTGTCCTACTCTTTCAAACCATGAACCTTTCAAGAAACATTCTTGAATTCGTTGGTTGTCTTCTTAGTTTGATCGCCCATGTAAGTTCTAGTATGTTCCCAGATTTTCAGTTGTCAGATTTTAGTTATTAGATCTTTAATGGTGTATAGTATACCGAAGTATATTTGAATCCTCGATCAATCATTCCTAAATTTATAGGATTTTCACTTGGCTAACATACCTAATTCTGCCCAGTCTCGTCCAATTTTTCCCTAAAAAGTACACTATTGCGTTCTCCTTGAATATTTGATTTTGATCATGTATTTGCACTGCGTATTCTCAGAATTTTTTTTTGGTTGAAAACAACTGTACTAATTAGTACTGTAGTCATATTATTTTGAAACAGATATAAGTTAACAATTTATATTATGATTCGATACCTATCAGTTGGGTAGTAGTTCAGTCGGAATGAGGCAAGATGAGAGTTAGGGTAGGGTCCAAAAAACCAACCATATATTTTACAAAAAAATCGTTTTATATACATGTGGTGTCATCATCTGAATCAGCCAGATTGATGACTCACCCTGGGACAAACCTTTAGGTTTTACATGTAACGTCAAGTCACCAAATCTAATTATTCAGACACTAAATCGGTCATCTTGTTCTTGTTTTGTTGTGTCTTTTCTCCACGAAAAGATGTTATCGATCACTTGAAAATGACATTATGTAGCTCCATTTGAAAAGAAAAAGGTGTTTTAACCGGAAACGACCTTAATCTTTTTAAATTATACACACATATTAATATTTAATTTGATCATTCTGTTCTAGCACACTGAAATTAGCTACACAAGTACTTTCAAATTAGCCTAATTGATTAAGAAATCAGTTTTGACCGTATTTAATTATCCTTGTAGCTTGCTTTTCGTGTGAAAATATGACCATACTAATTGTTTAGCAAGTCAAATGAGAACTATTTGTTTCAAACTAGTTAAGCACTTCAACCACATTCTAAATAATATTTTTTCAATATTCGGAAAGATGGTTCCCTTTTTACTCTTAGGATTTTACTAATATCTTTACAACTTCTTTTGATAATAAACTGCATCAAGAAAAGCTGATTTGAAAAACCGGGATGGGCCGTGGATTGTGCCAAGTCCTGTCATCTAACAACAACAAAGTCTTATCTCTTAAGTGAGGTTGGCTGTATGAATCTTAAAACGTCACTGCCTTAAGTTCTATGTCAAGTCTTCTATTAGCTCCAAGTACTCCATGTCTTTTCTTAGAGTCTTTTTCCAAATCTTTTTCCAAGTCTTCTTAAGTCTTCATCTACCATTTTTGTTCTGATCCTCTATCTCATAATTGCATCTGCTAATTGGAGCACTTGAAGGTCTTCAATTCAAGTCCTGTCATATGTCAAAATAAAAAAGGAGAGGATAACGCGAATGACTTTGACCTAATAGGTGGCAAAAAGAAAAACAATGTCTTGCTAGAAGCGAAAGGGTTCTGGACCCAGGAAAAGCTAAGAGGATCTCAGTTTCCTTAACTTATAGAACTATGTTTTAAGATCATATATAAAGGAATTCAGTTCATCTATTCTTTGTAAGTTCGAATTGTTTAATTTTCTCTACCTCATAACCTTGTTAAAAATGGTAAAGTTTGGTTTATATAATTGTGTGACACTCTTTCTTATATATAGCCTCATCATATTTTCGTTTGGGATTGTACGAGAATAGGTGAACATGACAAACTCGGCGAAGCTGAACCGGACAATGGGACTCCAAAGGTCATCAACTTCCAATAAGCAGAAGGTGCAACCCATCACGAAAGTAGTTAAGAATGACGAGAACAGTGTCGATCTTTCCTTAGCATCAATCACCTCAAACTTGCATGATATCTCTACCCCTAATGGACCAATCTCCTCAGATTTAGCTTATAATTCATGGGTGGTACGTTTTAGCCATTTGGACTGAGTTGATGATGATCTTATGACAATGCTTACTATATACCATTGCTTTCATTATCCCTGTTCTTTTTTATTTTATAATTTATTTTCGGGGGCTTATATGTTTAGGCCGAGCACCCTTCTGCATTAGGCTCATTTGATCGGATGATGAAAGCAGCAAAAGGGAAGCGGGTGGTTGTTTTCCTAGACTACGATGGGACCCTTTCACCAATTGTTGATGATCCTGATCGTGCCTTCATGTCTGATGAGGTACAATCTTTAATTTTCTTGATAACAAGATTCCTATCTTTACACGGCTCAATCCACCCTAACTATATTGACTATGTTCCATATGCCGGCAGATGCGTGCAGCAGTGCGGGAAGTTGCCAAGTATTTTCCAACGGCAGTAATTAGTGGAAGGAGTAGAGATAAGGTAATGAATAAGTCTAACATCAGTATGATCTCGAGCAAATTTGAGATATTCATCAATAAACAATGTGTTGCACATAAAATAATTTTCTCATTTAATTTGGTTCTACAGGTAAAAGAATTTGTACAGTTAAGTAATGTATATTATGCTGGAAGCCATGGGATGGATATATTGGTCCCAACAGGGCCACTAAATCCCTGTGATGCCAAGAACCACACTGCAGCCATTGATAAAAAGGTCAGTGATCACTGATCAGTCTAGTTCTATGGACTGGCGCAGCCCTAATGTGTGTGTGTGTGTGTGTGTGTGTGGCTTGGTCAATAACAACACAGTAGTACTATTAACGTTGCAGGAGAGTGACGTTCTCTTTCAACCTGCTAAAAGATTTCTGCCTGCAATCCAAGAGGTTAGCTAACAAGAAATTTAAATGTGCCTTGTGTTTAGTTGGACATACAGAATTCAGATGCGCCTGTGTTTTTTACACAAGAAATTTCATGTACGTTTTAATTGGAAATGCAGATACGAACACTGTTAGAGGAGATAACCAGGAAAGTAGAAGGTGCTAGGGTAGAGGACAACAGATTCTGCATTTCTGTTCATTTCCGCAAGGTCCGGGATGAGGTAATTAATTAAGAACATTCAAATTAGCTCTCTATCATATCAATCCTGTATTTGATCTTCATTGATTTGATAAGTGATGTATGTACAATTGTAGGATTATGACATATTAGAAGCAAAGGTGAAGTACGTACTTAAAAACTATCCCGAATTTCATCTCACCTTGGGCAAAAAGGTAGGGTATATATAAATTTCCTAAGAAATTCTTCCTTGTAATAAGTTATAACTTGCGTACATATTGTTTTATCAATAACATGTCTTCATTTGCATCTTTATATATTCAGGTCTTGGAAGTACGGCCATCCATAGAATGGAACAAAGGTCATGCCCTAGAATATATACTTGACACTCTTGGATTCAGCAGTTCCAGTGACGTCCTCCCGCTGTACATTGGGGACGATCGGACTGATGAAGATGCTTTCAAGGTACGTACGACATAGTACTGTTTGATAAATTTTCATACTTACAGTTAGTTTTGTGGATTCATTCTAGCTACTTGCTGCGCATACATACAGGTGATACGAAGTAGAGGACTAGGGTTTCCGATAATTGTGTCTTCAACCCCGAAGGATACCAAAGCTTGCTATTCCCTGCACGATCCGTCAGAAGTTTTAACTTTCTTGTTGCGGCTTGCAAGGTGGAGAAAAGAGTCTTCTTCTAGCAGGTCACTTGCTCAAATTTGGGGTCCTGGGAATTTACCTAGATCAGTCAATTAACTAGATTTTGTGCATAAACATTTAAGAAATATTATTAGGATTAAGGTCAGTATTTGTTATGGCCTTAACAACCCTAATATATATAGCTAAGTTATCGGTCGATGAAAATGAAGGAATAGAGTTACTTTTTGTTGTTGGAGAAGGCATAGAGTTTCACTGCTATGTTTTAGTCTGTTTCAGTGAAACTCTGGCCCATCCCCATGCATTTAACATACATACATACATATGTATGTGTGAATGTACGTAATTTCCAGCTTTTTTTTTTTAATGTGTCTGGTGTGTGCTGTATCATGAAATATTGTGCATATACTGGTTAATATTGGAGTATTTTCATGGTATAGTTTTATCTATACATTAAACCGACATTTAACAGAAAAATCTCTTTTGAATTAAATTTGGACTAAACTACGTGGATTTAAATTCTAATTTTTTTACTATGCAAGCTATTTTCCTATTACTTTATCACTATGTGGACCGTTTATCTAATTTGGTTTTCAGCTGAATGGGGGCTCTAATAGAGACTTGGAACCCTTGAAGGCTCAAGGAAATATTTAAGATTGGGCCACGCCTTTTGGGTCTTGACTCATCAAAAAACAAGTTGACATGTTCTTTTCTATTTTTTGTTCATTAGAAAGAATGAATTATTGAATTAAGTTGACCAAATAATGAGAAATTGATTACATGATTAGCAACAACTATTACAAACTACAGTGTCCTACTTAAAAGCGATTATCCTATATATCACATCTCACCGCACATGCCAAAAGCAGAAGATAAGAACGAATAACAAGATTAGTAACAGAGAGAGAGAGAGAGAGAGAGAGACTTCATGACTAGGGAAAGGAGACTAAGTCCTATGGTGGCTTATACTCGACATGATTTTGTATGAAGTTTCATTAACGTCGGACACAAAAAATTTCAGTGACGATATAGCGAACTGTTCAATTCAAAAGTTTAGTCTAAACCTTTATAAATTTATAAAATAGGTAACTATAACAAAACGTCAATCTAATTGATTAATCATGTCCCGTCTCAACCGCGAAACGTATGCATCTACTATATTCTAGTCTACTTTATGTAACATTCTCAACCACATTTACCAGCTTTTATTTCTTTTACAAGAAGGGGGAAAAAGACTTCAAACTCCTGAATTCCTAGCAAAAAAAGATCCTCTTTTGAGCAACGTCTTTGAAGATGAATCTTTTGATTAGGTTTGTATAAAATAACTTTTAGTTTTTTCTTAATGTAGCAACAAAAACATGCTGATAAAGCGTTGTGACCTATTTTACTAAAAGGGTGCCACAAAGAGAGAGAAATGGAGAATGACTTGAGCGTGTGCTATCCCTCATGGCTTATGCCTTTATTTATAGTAAGCCAAGGAGGATTCTTTGCTATGCAAATAATACAATCATAAACGGATAATATCTTCTAGTATCCTAAATACAATCTCCTAATAAATTACACAATCACACATATTCTAAAATATATGTCACAACACTCTGCCTTAAGTGTATAACTACTCTCAAGTAGATAGTCATCAAATCTTCGGACAAATTTGTTGAATTATTTTGGAATTATACATGTTCTGATTTGAGCCTTTTGCAATTTGTATACTGGTGGATCGTGGATCGTGGATCCCATTGTTAGATATTAATGTTGGACAGTTCATAGAAGACCCGATTTAGGGTTCTTCCAAAATTTATTCAATTAACTTTTGTAACTCTTCTTGGGAAAATTGATTAAATACAAAGATACAAATCGTACAGAGGCAAAGAAAATACTAATGGAAATTGACAAGGCCTCGTCTTTGCACTTTGCATCAATGGTCGTTAATATAAATAACATAAGAGATTATAAAAAATTTGAATCTTAATAAAATAATTAGTTTATGTGCTAGTGGCGGGCTGGTGGCTGCTGCCTTGATGCACTCTGGAGAAGCTGATTAGTTCTTAAATATATAATTATAAATTTCATTGTTTGTCATACTGCATACCAATAATTTCTAATTAACAATTAAGGAAAGATTAAGAACTGATGCTAAAAAATATAAAAAATAAATAAAGGAAAGAATTGATGCTCCACCTTTGTGAGAGTACGGATCACTATCAACCATCGTTGTTTCTCGCTAGCTAATTTCAAAATCCCCAGAATCCAGGATTTGCATACAGTACCAACTACCATGCTAGCCAGTTCGATATATTAATTAATTTGGTGAGTTCTTATGCACAAAACCACTTTGATTATTTAAATGAATGATGCATAGATCCACCGAAAAATTAAATAAATAAGAAGAGCCATTTGCATAAATTGCTCCATCGTGCTCTAATTCAAATTATATAAAATACACTTGGCGGATGTACGTAACGCTATCTTATTCCTCATATTTAATTTTTTTTGCCTTATATATAATTAGTGTTGTAAACCTTAATTAGTTTTGTAAACCTTGCCGACAAGGATCTAGATATTTTGGCCACCATTTTATTGGGATGAAGCGCTAATCTATGAATAATGTAATCTTTAATTTCTTACAAAAATCTCATATACTATGTTATTAAACGACTACTAAGGTCATATTTACCTACGCAAAATAAAGATTAAAATTAAACACTTTAAAATTAGGATCAGATCAATTAGGGGGAAGGGAGTGAAGTTAGTTGATTCAATTCTCTTTACTTTCCTTATTTCTATGTTCTTCGATTTCTGTTAAGTAAGCGTATTCTAAAGTAATTAATTACATTACACATCAAATAAAAATATATATAGGACCTGCACTAGTAGTACTCTAAAATGTTTACATTTAGAAATGACCCCTTGCTCGACCCAACAAAAAAACAAAGAAATGATTCCTTGCGTTGCTCAAAACAATAATGCATGGATATAAATGGTCTCTATTTGCTGCATGTTTGACAGGTGTCCTCTAGAAGATGATATAGTACTCTAGCTAGTTAGCTACACTGCACAAATGGATTCCGGCAAGTGTCACTGAAGGTAAGGAATTGAGTACAGTCCTGCATGCATGGATAATTGGATATGGTTTTGCCCTAAGTAGCTCCAACGTTATCCTATGATAGGATTAAAAGCACACCACAAAGTAGCACACAAATGTCTTATTGATTTTCCTTATTAACACTAAGATTTGTCAATTGTAGCATATGAAAATAAGGGTCTTTCCCACAGAAGATTGTTTTATCTAACTACCTAAAATGTCACAAAAACTGGGTTGCTGTCCCTACTGACCAGCCACCGAAAAATAATTATTAGACCGACTTATACTTATCAAAAGTCTACGAAATTTTATATGCAGATACTAGACACACAAAGCTACACTCACACAATTTTTTAGGATTTTTGGAGTTGATTTTCTATTTAAATTAAATCGAACAAAAACAGGATAGAAACAAATTTTAAGTAGTTCACAAATTAAGAAAAACGAGTTAGGGGTATTGCTATCCACCACCAAATAATCATGCAAACATGTTATGTTTCATTCAAATTTCTTTTATTTCCGGATGAAGATGCTCAAGTTGGCTCAATGTTAGAACTCAACCTATTACTCTTTCTTACGTAGTATGTTAAGAGAATGGCGTTTTCAACTTAACTTAGTCCCTAGCATGCAATCTAGAATGGCGTGTTCATAGATTTAACAAGTAGAAATCATTAAGAACGAAAAGAGTTTGAGTCTTCACAAGGCATCGTAAGTACTGGCGTTGTCTTACTTATCCTATAAATTGGTTCACATGTTAATCGCAATTAACAAGTACTACTTTAGAACATATGTAGGTCCTCATTCGACAAGGGCAGACACACACATATTCATAGCATTAAAATCCTATATATGCTTAATACGTATGCATCCATAGAAAACAAATAAAGAATTCATCAATGAGACAAGTAGTGAACCAAGTTTCATCCATTCATAAAAGTAATTCAACGAAATGTCATAACAAAATTGCAATCATATTCGGTGCTTCAAAACAGCCCCTAACTTCTAAAAAATTAGTTACATATAGTTCTCAAAATAAACCAAAAGAAAGACATGAGTTTGAGAAGATAAAACCGAGAGAAGAGAATGCCAAGATTTCCTCCTTCCTTTCCTTCCTTTCTCAACGCAGCAGCCTTGCCTTTTTCCTTCCTTTCCTTCCTTTTTTTCTATTTTTTTTTCCTCTAAAGAACTCTCTTTTGCTGCTGCAACCTGCAGCCTTTATGCCCATGCTTGCTGCCCCATTTCTGCTCCATAACTCACCCCATTAACAGCCATTTAGTGATGACAATAAGTGAGAGGAAATGGTAAACCAATTGTAACTTTTTGGGCAACCTTTATGCCAATTACTCCCACTTAATCCTCATCTTTAATTCCATTTCATCTGATATTTGAAGAGGTGTCAGCTGGCTTGTTCTTGGCTGCATCAGTTTTGGCTGCTAGTTTTATTGGATTTATTGCCTTCAATGCAGTTACAAACTGCTCAGCGTATTGGAAACATTTCAGTGTTAAAACGGCCATAACTTCTTCTAGAAAAAAGATATTAACAATCCGCGAAATTCTCTAGAAAATAGACATCCTTAGCTTTCCAAGCATATAAGGCTCATTCTCTAATTCATTCTGAGCTGTTCGCAACTTGCTTCCAAAGTCAGCTGACCTGCACAGGCAGTTTTGACGAATTTGTTACTTAAAATCCCACTTGTGCTATTTTTCTTTTATTTGTTTGACAAATCCTACAAAACACAAAAACAAAGTAAATAGCTCAAAAATATAAGGAACTAACTAAGAAAAGACAAGTGAATTTAATGTAAAATATATATAAATATGAGCTTATCATCCTACAACACAACCAGTATGTTGGCCCTAATGCAGTAAACAAGATATATCTGATGAGAACCTAAACAGAATATAATTTATTGAACTTGTCCCAAAATCAAGCCCACGTTAATTTCTCAAATCTTCGGTGGAAATGTAATATAATTTCAAGTTAGTTGTGCTCCCTAGTTCTGGGTTTGATGCACAAAATTGACAAAAACATGAATGATTCTTTGGTTTAAAGCTTTGGGATGACGTATGATATTTAACTGTGACTATTTGTGAGCTGAAATACCTTTAACCTTTCCGGAACCCAATAAAGATTAGTTATCCTTTTGGGATGTGGGCGTCGGGAAAAAAAAAAACTTCATCTACTTAAGTGAGACAAATACAACTAAACCAGAAGATAATTGGTAAATGGACTTTATCATTTAAGTGTCTTATTAAAACTATTAAATTGTTTTGTGTCTGGATAAGAACAATTTTTACTTAACTTTCAGGCTTCCCATTTAGGCATTAGGATATGGTTGCTTAGACTGT